TCCATCCATCCATCCATCCATCCATCTATTTATCTATCTATCCATCTATTCATCCATCCATCCGTCACAGTATGTGTGTTTTATGTAGTAGTAGTTATTTGCCCTGTGACTCAGACGGTGGGAATGTGGCTGCGACTCATCATCATGTATTGACCACACAAGGAAAAATAAAGATATTTGACACCGACCAAACAAATACTGTTCCATGAAAATGATGCACGATGATCAAATGAAACGTGAAGATAAAAAGATCTATAGTTGCAGCTAATTTACATAATAAACATGATGAGAGAGGACGTTAATCTTTTGCTGTGTTCAAATAGCAGTAAATAAATAAATCATGACCCCAGTAACGTTATGCAATGTTCAGAGCGAGAGCAGTAAAGGCAAGTGTGTACAGGATATAACACATAAGGTAATATTGACTGTTGTTTTCCTTTTGCTGCCACAAAATTTGAAATATAACTGTCACTTCTGCTTCTAATAAATCAGCTTACACAGCAATGAGAAAGTATTGTTCCACTCGTGATTTGCTTAGTCAACTCAGAAACACATCATCCCCTGAGTTGATGTTCCAGTGAAGTTTGGGAGCAAATCTGGGACAATGACATAGTTTCAGCTGCATTCATGAGCACTGTTTCTAATTTTGATAAAATAGAAATTTTCCACATGACAAACATTGGTCACAGGACAGTTGCTGACATGCCTTCCAGTCCTGTGTGGAGCCACCAGGGGATTCTGGGGGTAGGAGATGGGGAGAGGTGAGCTGGGGGGGGGGGTTTCAGAGAGAGGTGAGTAAGAGATGAGTCAACAGCCCTCCACTATAAGATGTCCTGATGGAGCCCAACAGTAGCATACAAGCAGCCACCAGCAAAGGTAAGGTCAACTCTCCTCTTCCATCGCTTTTGTTGCTCTGAGTTTCAGCTGTTCCATCTTCATTTAAATTCTGCTTTAAGTTGGAAACAGATAGCAGGCGTTATTAACTGATTGTGAGTCTTGTAGTTCCAGCTAAGTTTTTACAAGCTTTCTGTTCCGCTCTCTTCACCTGCCTGTAGCAGAGATCTAATAATAATGTGGGGATGGTTGGTGATAATAGTGTCAGACAAACTCAGTGATCTTTGTACCAGTTAAACAGCCAGAAAGTCACAGGTGTCACCATCACAAATATTTGCTGCCATAAACAAACATATTGAGTAAATCACTGAAAGAAGAATGTGTACAAGCTGCCATCTTAATGAAATGACACACAAACACACAAGCAAACATCATTACAAGGCAAAGTAACCTGCATCATCTCTGATCATGTCTGATTCCACTTTTCTTCCAGGAGAACCAGAGCTTTTCTGAATCCTCCACATCCCCAAAGACACAGCACACAACATGGACTACACTCTGGCCCTCCTGTTTTCTCTGCTGCAAGTTTTAAGTGTGTGCACGGCCGCTCCTCTGCCGGCAGAGGTAGTGATGATGAAGTCCAAAGTAAAGTGGATGGCTGAGCAGCTTGTTGTCAGGCTGGACAAAGACTTCAATGTAAGATTTTGGGGTTATGCTTATTTTGAACAAAAAAATATATATTTCAGAGAAATTATAGTTTGCTTGTAGTGAGTATTACATAGTTGTATGTTTGATTGATTTGAAGATTACTCAAAAACAACAGAACAGATTTCAATGATATTTGGTGGAAGGATGCAGGATGGGTCAGGGAAAACCCCATTAAATGTTTAACTTTGCTGGGAGTTGCAGGATGAGGGGTTATGCAACATTTTTATTGATTTCTCAGAGAATAATTTGTGGATCTTGTTGAAAAAAAAATCTGGCATGTTTATGAGTGTGTGCTATTCAGTGCAGATCCAAATAAAAATAGTTCTAGTTCTAATTTCAATGACTGATGATGTTTTCTGTCTTGCTGCAGTTCTCTGTCAGCCTCACACCCACTGACGACCTGGCTGGAGCATCCTCCATCGTGACGGTCCTGGAGGGTTACAACAGCCTGATCTCTGACACCTTTCACAGGGTCTCCCAGGTCAAATCTGAAATCTCCTCATTGACGGGTTACGTCGATCAGTGGAGGAAGGGGCACTGCAGCGAACAGCGGCCGAAGCCCTCGATGCCCGGGCCCCTGCAGAAGCTGCAGAGTCTGAAAGACTTCATTCACATAGTGAGCATGGAAGCTCTGATGAGAGTGAAGGAGTTTCTGAATCTACTGCTGAAGAACCTGGATCATCTGGAGACTTGTTAAAAGATGGACATGAGGACCAATCAGTGATGTCGCTCCCTCGTGGCCATATTGAACTTTTGCCACGTGTTTTAAAGGGAATTTATTCTTGAACATGCACTTATTTATATACATATGTATTTATTTATCTCTTCTACTTAGAAAATGTGTATTTTGTACCAAATATCTTTTCATCAGCATGTCTGCAGCACAAGGGTGTTTGTATGTAAACTCATCCTGAGCATGTCTCGCACACAGACACTTCAGCTGCTCATAGGTTTGTATTACATGACACAACTGTTTCAACAACAAAATAGGAATCTACAAATTAGCTTACTCCTGAAGCTGACTCAGCAGTGTGAGGAAGAGGCATCACATTCAACAGTGATGTCAGCCATCGAGGACATTTGCCAAGAACCACAGGTGTGTTTGTATTTAAACAGGAAGGGTAAAGGGCGACTTCAACTTCAGTGCAATATCATCAGAATTATTTATATCCATAGATTGAAGTTTTGTATATTTTTCTACAGTTGACAGAATTTTTTTTATAACTATTGACCTTTAAATATGAATAAAATGTTTGACAAAGTTGTGTACATGAAGTGTGTGGTTGTTGTATTCAGATGAGATGAAAGAGATGAGTATAAAGTGGATAGAGACACAGACCAGTGTCAGTCGTGGGTGTTCAGGGGTCATGAGTGGGAAGTGTTTATCCACAGCAGCTTATGATTAACTCTTGCTTTCAACTAACATTGAAAAATAGTGACTCTCACTATGAACTGAAAAATCATGAATCCTGCAAATAATCTGGATTTAATGTAAAGACAATAAAACACACATTCAGGTGGTTTTGTACATTTTCTTCAAAACACATGTACACAAAGAGAAACGCTCTTTATATAGTTCTGTTTGTTTTAGTGGAAACAACAAACAACAGGAACACGTATTACAGACACGCAGGAGCAGGGGGACTGAAGTTAAGTGACAGTTCAGTTTAACACATGAAATACTGGTCGATCTGACACAAAACTAATGTATGAAGAACCATCACATTTACTTTAAAACCTCAAGATGTCAAATATAGATTCTTAAAGAAACTTATAAGAGTCCAGGGAATTTCTCTCTCACACTCATTGACTCTCTCATTCACTCTCTCACTCACACTGAGAATTAACTATTGAACCACTTGTTTCTTTTGACATTGCTGCTCTTGCCACCGTTACCCATCAGTTTCTTCTTGTACTGCTCCACCAGGCTGTCGAAACGGTCCCCATCCCTCTTGAAAGGCTTCTTAGCTGCTTTAACCTTATGGAAAAAAATGACAATTAAGTCAGTGTTAGACCAAACCACAGACATTTGTTTGTTTTTTTTATAGTGATTGCTGTCCAAAGTAAAATGTGAGAGTGTGAAAGTTAGCACTTTAAATGAAATTTTGCAAAGTAAAGCTTAATCTTTCTGGATTTAAGTATCAACAGTAAATACTTTGTACTGACAGTGTTTGGGTTTGTTTAACATGCCCTTGTGTTGACTATAATCCTTATGAGTCAACATGTTGCATTTGCCAAAACCAATAAATGAGTAATAACCAAGAATGTTGGCTGATATATCTGTAGCTGCCACAGAGATCCATTAACAAACTGACACACTTAGAACATCAGAAACCTTCTTAATTTTAAGTACTGTTCTTATCCATCTCTTGGACTTAAATCATATATATTTGGGTATGAGCACCTCTAATAATCTTAAGTTAAGCACAAGTTCATGATCATATGTAGATAAATATTTTACTACTTTCAACTAACCGCTGTGGCTTTCTACTTGTTTTATGTAATGTTTTAAAATAATATCATTGCTCCCCTTTAGCTAAGTATTGTGATAATTCCACTAAAATTTCACCTGGTGGCACCAAACAACAAAACTTTACATGAAGTGTAAACTAAGGTCAAACAGGAAGACGCAGAAGCTCCTGCAACATGTTTTCATGTTTAAATCCAGTCCATCGAGGTGATACACATTTGTTCAGAGACAGTTCTGTCGTACTAATAAACCTTTGTAAACTACCAAGCAGATTTCCAGCAACAGTTTTAAGGTTGTTTGCATTTGCATTTGACAGCGTTCTTGTTCTCTGTGCAAGTCTTCTCATCTTGACTAGTCTCAGGGGCTTCAAGATTAAAACAGACAAGCCACTGTTTTTAAATTGTTTCAAATCAATCAGGGCTTCAGCACCTGCTCTTCACTGACTGAGTATGATACCCAGTAACGAATAAGCATTAACAGAAGATATGTAAAAACCTGGTTTCTGGACTGCATGGGCTTTTCCATCTGTCGTCTTTGAGGCTCTTTCCTGTTGGATCCAGGTTTCACTTTCTTGGGGGGTGGGCCTTGCTGCTTTCCTTTATCACGCATCCTGTAAAACACAAACAGGTCAAAACAGGCAACATGGTTACACCTGCTGGGAAAGATAAGTCGGCATCTGTGGTAATTGCAATAAAAAAGATCTAGAGTAAGAGCTTGACACATTAACTAAACTCATGAGGGAGAAACATCCACCAATGCAACGTCAATAGAATATTACAGGAGACAAAAAGGCAATATGATCTCCACCTGATCTTAGGTCCCCGATGAGAAGGTAAATGCAGAACCTTCTTTCGTTTCTTTCCATTCTCCAGATCAATGTGTTCAACCTCAGGGTTAGTCTGGAAGCCGGAGTAGAGTCTGTCTTTCTTCTGGTTCTGAGGGGGAGCTGATAAACACAGAACAAACAGGGGACAGAGAGAATATAAAAATATAAGAGGGATCAAATGGTAACGGCACAAATAAAAAATAAAAAATTCTTGTTTGCCATTTCAATTAGGTGTTACAGCTGGTTAAAGCTAACACAGATTCTCCTCAGCGCAACTGTGCTGTTGTGAATCCATCTTGTGACAGAATGTGATGTTCTTTTTCACTTTTCTACATGGTTCATATAAGCCTGGTGAACTAATGTATAAAGTCACAATCCTTTCATACCCCTTTCCTTTCCTCTCAGCTCTGATGACGACTGGGGTTTACTTCCTCCTTCCCGCGAGCCTTGTCCGCCACCAGCTGCCTGAGGATTAGCGCCTCCTTTAAAGGGACGATTTTGGGAAAACTGCTGCAAAAACATACTCACAGCGTTATTTCCCATTTTGAAAGAGTAATTCTTGTTTGAAGGCTGATTCTAAGATGAGGGTATAACTCTATTTAATAGACAAACCTTGCTCTTTTGTTGTCGCAATTCTTTGATTTTAAGTTTCCTTGAATCCTCCAGGGAGAACTCTACAATAGGTCTCTGCAGACCAAGAAAACAAAGTACATTTCAAAAAGCTGCCTTTAAACACAAACTATAATTCATTTGAATATTTAAGTTCTCCAGAGTTAAAGTGTACCTTGTGTGGCCCAAAGATATCAGGGTTGTTGTTGAGGTGACGAAGTGTTTTGAGTGCATGTTCATGGTCCTGGAACTGGACAAAGCCGTAACCTAACGACTGTCCCATCACCTGACCCTTCTCTGGCTTCCTATCATACATCACCCGACACTGAGAGGAGAAACAGGAGCACACACACCATGAATAGAAATGGCAACATGACAACAACACCCCCTACTGGGCACACAGATTAATTCTACAGCTGCCTCGTTCACTAAATTATTTCCAGGAATGCTTTACAAAGCTGAAATTTAAAAACCTTATTAAATTGATATTTGATGAAATGTACCTCTGGGATGCGCACTCCCTTCCCAGCCTTTATGGCTTCAAGGCAAAGCGTTCTGAGTTTTTTATTGTCGACCGACTTGGGCAGGTTGTGGACACACAGACGAGTCTTTGATACAAACACACTAATGTCCCGAAGCTTGGTCCTCTTTATTTCTTCAAACTAGGAAAAAGAGACAGAAACAGGATATGAGCCAATTCAGGTGTGATTATGAGAGGTCTCTCAAAAATGATGCTTTAAAGAAACCATTCTCCAAATGGAAAGATGTAAAATGCTCAATAAACTCACTCTGGTTCTTTTGATCATGTCTGCTTCAGGTACACCCTCTGCAGCCTTGGTTCCAGCTCTGATCACTGGAGTCAAAAGAAAAGAACAGAGTTAGACAGAGAACTGATCTAGAATCAACTCATTAAAGGAGTGTGACATCTAAACTGATCTTATAATCTAATGTGGACGTCTCACAAGTCAGACATGGCATTTCTGACTTTGCATCTCACTTAGAGATATATTAGTTCATGGTTTTTAATGTGAAAGTCTATTAAACTTCAAATCAGCATTAAGAAAGAAAGAAATAACTCTAATTGGAAACGGTCAGAAGTAAAAATACCCTGAGAAAACATAGGAGGAGAAAACAGGAGGATGAAATGGGTTTACTCACATCCCTCTCTGGCCAGGTACAGGTTCCTGGTGCCTGTTTCTACTTTAACCTTATCGACCTTCAGTTTGGTAGCATCCTCTCTGGTCACTGCCGCCACAATCAACAGCTTTCTGCCGTCTACACGAACACCACCATCCTGCATCAAACAACAAAGTGTTAGAGCAAGATTCATAAAACACAAAAACAGACATGACATAAAAAAAAAAAGTTTAAGAATATTTAGGGTTATATATTCAGATTACATGCACGTTCATTGCAGATTACCTCGGCCTGGTCTTCTGCTGCAGCTATGCATTTGTCTGCACACTCTTTAGTTTTAAACTGAGCAAATGCACAACCTAGAAAAACAAAACAACAAAAAAACATAATGAGCCAATCAGCACGTTTTCCAAAAAACAAGAGAGGAGGAAAACTGCTGACCGACCTTTTGAATGTTCTGTGTCTGGGTGGAGAACAATCTTGATGTAGTTAAGTTCTCCGTACTTCAGGAGAACTTCCTCAAGACCTTCTTCCTCTGTGTCAAAGGACAGGTTCCTGAATGAGCCAGGAGAAACAAGAACAATTATAATTATAACATAAATGCTCATTGATAGTAAGAGAAAAGTAGACCATGAAACAATCCTAAAATTGTTTTAAATGGTTTAGAGTGAGATAAATGACAGAAAGAAGAGTCTCTGACCTGATGAAAATTGTTCTGCCCTCTTTCACATCAGATGGGAGAAGTTTCTTTTGAGCTACAGGAAAAAGCCCCAAACAACAAAAGTTGAAACAATCAAATAAAACATTTGTATTATAGACAGAAATTTGAAAAAGATAAGCTGAGGCTTTAAACCTGATTTCCTTTCTTCAACGTCATCATCTTCCTCTTCATCTTGACTTTCATTTGAATCGAGACTACTCCCATCATCATGATTATCCTCTTCCTCTTCATCATCATCATCATCCTCCTCCTCCTCTTCACTGTCTTGTTCCTCATCATCATCTTCATCCTCTGTTTGGGATTCCTCTACCTGCTGCACAGCTGGTTTAGAGGCGACTCTGCGGAAAATTCACACAATTGAGAAAAAAAAGTCAACCACTTAAATTAACTGAATTTTAAAAAAGTGGAAGCATATAAACAGAAGAGTTTATTTTGGGGTTCACACTTTTTTTTTGATGGTGCAGCTGGTTTCTTTTCTTCCTCATCCTCAGGTTCACTTTCTGAGTCCGGCTGTTTTCCAGTTGCCACGTCTGTAGTTTTATTTCCTGTGAGGGAAACAAAATGAAGCTCTTTATTTTGACATACTCTGATGACTGTAAGGACTCACAAAGTGGGCTCTTCTCATTTCAATTGTGTTGTAGACATTGAAAAGAGGCAATGTTGTTTACTGAGGGAAATGTACCTGCACTGGAGGACTGCTGTGTGGCAATGAATTTGTCCTTAGGTATAGCCCAGTCAACTGCTACCTGCCTCCCTGTGATCAAACAATAATGTTTAGAAAAAGCAGTCACACTTTTTAAAGTAGATAAAAGTTTGCAGTTGTCTCAGTCACTGACCTTTTATCTCTTTCAGGTTCATACTCTGAAGAGCTTTTGCTGCCTGAGACACATTTTTAAACAAGACGAACGCAAATCCTCGCATCTTCCCATCTATACAAAAAGACAAAGTAAATATGGGAAGCAAATAGGTTGATCGTCCCAGTCAACAGTGGCACAGCAATTCAAAAACAATGCTTGAAAGAGTTATATGAATTAAACCTAATTTTACCAGGTTTTAGGGGGATTTTGGCCTCGAGAACCGTTCCAAACTTGGAAAACACCTGCTTCAGGTCACCTTCTGAACACTACAACACAAGACACTTATCACCCTGCAGGTCAAGTAACACGTGTTCTCAGCAGGTACATGTAAGTGGTTAAAAGAGCGATTTCAAGTTGTTTTGCTCTGCATCATTGAAGTGCACTGTACCTTAAAACTGAGGTTCCTGATGATGAGCTTTGCTTTGAGTAGTTTCTTCCTGAAGCCTTTAGATCTGTCCTCGTTCTCTTTAGAAGCCGGAGCGGTTTTTTTAGCAGGTTCTTTAGCAGGTTCTTTAGCAGGTTCTTTAGCAGGTTCTTTCACTGCTTCAGTAACTGGTTCTTTAACTGGTTCTTTGGCTGCTGCTTCTTTCGATGGTGCTGCAGAACCACAGACATGAACAGGATTATGAAGAAGGAAAAGTAAAACCAGAAAACTGCTGCTTTGGACACGTGTCTTCGTACCCACCTGTTTTTTTCTTTTTATCTTTGTTTATTTTCTGCTTGGCCACAGACACAGAGATCCTCTGTCCGTCGTAGTCTTTTATTGTTTTCATAGCTTGCTGAGCGTCCTCCTCCATAGCATATGTGACATAGCCAAAGCCCCGACATTTTTCTGCACCTGGTTTAAAAAATAAACAGTTATATGTGAGCTGCTTCTGTTGACATTTTTATTTTAAAATCACTGCTACGAGTTTTTCTGCATCGTCAGGGGTGGATGTCAGCTTACCCGAGTTATTGTACAATGTGATTCAACTGATACTTCACCTTGTTAACTAGTTATTAACTTAAACAGATGCAGAGTAAACGACAACATCACCTTTCTCTCTGACCACGAAGCACTGCTTCACCGGACCGACCTCTGAGAAGATTTCCTCAAGACGCTGGTTCGAAGCTGAGGCTGGAAGAGAGGCGACGAATAAGGTCTGAGGAGCAGGCATGGCTCTCTGCTGCTAGCTAGCGTTAGCACGATAGAGTTAGCTTCCCCAGCTCAGTAATGACTCAAAAACTGCGGTTTAATCTGCAAACAGTCAAAAACTGGAGGATACTATTAAACTATTCAAAAGCAAAAGTGACCGTGAGATAAACAAATACCACGGAGCTGTTTTACTTGAACACCATTAGCTGCCAGGATTCATCGCATGTTTACATATGTGGGCAGACATCTTAGAAAGTGAGCGGAAGTCGTCACTATCCGACTTTCTGAAATCTGGAGCGTGGCGCCTCCTTCTGGCCCGGAGGTGTCAAAATGAAATAAAACAAATGCATCTTGTAAATGTTTGGACTTTAGAATTTGAGCTGAATATGCAGTGGAAGTTAGGTACAGATAACAGAAGTTGATACTTGTAGTGTTTATCAGCAGAAATCCGTATTGTGGCGCCCCCACCAGGCCAATAGGTAAATTGGTCATGTTGCAGAGATTCAGCTGTAAATAAGAATATCTTAACACTGAGAAGGGGCAGAACTTTGCCTGAAAACAGAATCATCCGTGCATTAAAAATATGTTTGACATATGAATAGTTTACATTTAAGGTTCAGTGTGTAAGGGATCTATTGAATATAAAATAATCCCAGTGATGTTTTCACTAGTGTGTGTAATCTAAATTGTACACATTGATGTTTTCTTTACCCTAGAATGAGCCCTTTATATTCAAATACTTATACTTATACTTAAACTGGACACACTAAACACTTTTTGAGTTTTTATGACAACTGAAGCTGCCACAGGTTCTCTTTCATGTTTGGAAGGGGAGGGTGAGGGGTATTCAGCTGCAACATGCACCTTCACCTCTAGATCTCACTAAATTCTACACACTGAATCTTTAAGTATAAACAAATGCTTATGTGTGATCTGTGAAAAAAATGAGGGAGAGGTGAGGTTTCACATCCACAGGAGTCCCCTGTGTCGATACAGAAGAAGCATGTTTAACTGTGGGCCAGCTCTGTGTGTGTGTGTGCATTTTGGACTTTTCTAGAAATTAGGCTGAAAAAAATCACATCTCACCTCAGATAAGATATTCACATATTTATTTCTAAACCACCAACAAGAGAAGTAAAGAAACACTAGTCTGGAAAAGAATTACACATATCAGAAATGTCGGAGATGTTCAAGTTATGTGAACATTTTACACTACACTCAACAAGCAACTTCATCTGACCATTTGTACAATCTCAAGTATTCAGTTGTTAATTGCAGCTTTGCGAGGAAAAACAATATTAATAGAAAAAATTAAGACAGATAAACTGTTTAAAAGATCTCACATCATGAAAAAACACTCAAGTAACTGATGGATACCACCATGTAGTACAGTCAGTCTCTGAAGAGATCACATGAACTCCTGCATATCAAGATGTTATCATCTGGTTTTCATCCAGCATGTTCAACAAATGCCTACATGGTGGAACTTCTTTTACATGATTAGATATTCTTCAAGGCACTGGTTGTATTTGTTTTAGTTTCCATTCATGAGGTTTATAAATTTTAAGTTTTTATAAGTCTTCAGTTATATATATATATGCTACTATTGTTACAAAAGCATATGAACTACTATACTGCATGCATATAAAGTGTATTGAATGTAATCAGGAATTGTTAAGAGCAGTAAAAAGTACATTTGAATATCTTGCATCATAAATAATCTCAGTATGAAATGAAGTTTATCAGTTGTGTATTCAATCATTAACATTATTAAACATTAAGTAATGGGAATTTGACCACTGGAACGGTTTATTTAACTTCAAGCAGTGGAGACAGTTTTCAGACATGAACTTTAGAAAATGTCAGATGAATTGGGTCAAGACAGAGTTTACATGTAAAGGAGGCAGCAGGAGATTATCCGGGTCAGACGCTGAGAACAACAGGAAAATGTCCGGAACATTCAGGTGAGGGGTGGTGTCGGGTTAAGCATCCAGGAGGTAGGACATGACATATAAATTCAACGGTGGAAATCACATGTTTTTGTTGAGGGAACATGAATTCATCAAATCAAACCTCCTTTTTTTTAATCCTGAGATCTTTGTTTTCTTTTTTTGTTTTGCTTCAATCTCATGTGACAAACATCATCGACATGCCCGCTCACTCACAGTTTTCTCACATGAGCTCACTCAGCTGATTTCTAAGTTTACCATGAACTCCACTTTTATCTGGTTCTGTTGACGTCAGTGAATCTTCACTCAAAATGAAGCATTTTAAACTCAAATGAAGTGTAAAAAAATACACATATAGACAGGAGATATAAGCCGTATCTCCCCTCTCTCATCATGGGCAACGTGAGATCACTGGGGAACAAGATGGACAAGCTAACGGCGCTAGCCCAGAGCCAAAGGGAGTACCGGGAGTGTAGCCTGATGATTCTTTCAGAGTCATGGCTACAGAGACGTTCCCAACACAAACGTTAACATCGAGGGATTTCAGACGGTTCGGGCAGACAGGGATTGCACAGAGAGCGGCAAGCGTAAAGGAGGAGGGTTTGCTGTTTTAGTAAACAACCGATGGTGCAATCCTGGTCATATTCCATTCAAGGACAGTATTGGTTGCCAGGACATTGAACTTTTGGCTATGGTACTCAGTCCATACTATTTGCCCAGAGAAATCTTGCATGTTATCACGGTGGCTGTGTACATTGCCTATGAGGTACTGCAGGCCTGTTTCGAGGTGACTGACTGGGATGCACTCTCTGTGAGCCGCATGGACAGGCCATTGATGGGCTTACAGAGGGCATCACGGATTATATAAACTTCTCTGTGGACTGCAATGTCCCAACAAGGACTGTCTGCTGTTATCCAAATAACAAGCTTTGGATAACAAAAGACATCAAAGCCATCCTCAATGAGAAGAATGAAGACCATCACAGCTTGGTTATTGCCAATGAATTTAATTTATTTTTTAACAGATTTGATACAGCGGCCCCTGCCCCCCCAACTCTTCTGCGGTCCGTCTCCAAACACCAATCCTCCCCCCTCGTTACACCTTTTCCGGCTCACAAGCTGACTGTCTTCTTCCTGATGACTTCATCCCTCCTCCTCCCCAGCCTGCATCCTCTACAACGGTCTCAAACTCAATTTACATGGGGGCCGTTGGAGGTAGAGTCTGGGTGAGGCTGGGCCGCATCAAATACTCCACAAAAAAGGGTTTCAGGTATTCCAAAACATACAACTTATCCAATCTTCTCAATCTTTATGATGAACAGTTCTTCAACATGAACGGTTCTTCAGAACGGAATCACGTTTCAATCAAGTGACTAACGCTGCTAATTCGCTTTGGCTAACTTGACAACAAACGCCACCGGAGGCTGTCAGGGCAAGCAAGGCCCGTGCAACAACTCGACAAAAAGGTGCGTTTGAGAAAGACGCGCAGGCCGCACTAACACTAGACTTTGATGTCAAGTAGGGGGCCGCGAAATATCATCCGCGAGTTTGAGACCCCTGCTCTACAGTGTCCTTCACCTCACCATCTTAGAAGAAAGCTGAGGAAACTCTACTGCATAAGATACATGCCATCCTGGACAATGTCTTTCACCCTCTCCATGACGTGCTGGTCAAACACGGGAGCACCTTCAGTGCAAGACTGACATCACAAAAATGCACCACAGTGCACCACAGGAAGTCATTCCTGCCTGTGGCCATTCAACTATATAATCCTCCCTCTGAAAAACTCTGAGTCAACAGACTGGAGTCATTACAAGCATATCCATTTGCACTAAATATCCAATGTACAGTACGCACAATATTGTGTATATTTCATATTTTTATTTTATTTTTGTATGCTAAATTTCTACCTTTTACTTTGATTGGAACAATTTGGAACAAACAATTTCCACCTGGGATCAATAAATTAATTCTGATTCTGATCTGATCATTCATCAAAGTACTTTCTTAATGTTACTGCAACACACCAAAAGGTAACAAACAATTAGGGTGAACAAAGAAAACAAGAACAGTCATGTTGACATGGAATTGAGTTGTAGTGACACCATCTTACATCTTGGACTTCAGCGGAGTGATGTTGAGTGAACAGAGGAATAATTCCAGTGCGGTCATATACTCCTGTGGGTGCCTCTTCAGGTGACCTGCATGTGTTGAATCCTCCCACTTCTTTGGGGTGACGTTTATCCCGCGCTTTCGCCAGAAGTCGATCAATTCCATCGTAGTCTGTGCGTCACTTAACGGATCGTTCTCGCAAAAGAAGAACAGTGAGGGGGCGGGGATTGATGTGTTCCAAAACACATCAATGCTTGTGTTGTAGTAGTCCAACGTTTGCTGTTTGAACATGCCAAAGTATAGCAAGCTAACGTTTTTTACCAGTGTCTCCAAACAAGGACATATGGTTTTACCTAGACCTGTGCAGAGAGGAGAAAAAAAAAAAGTATTTTGCACTGAAAACATTCACTCCCATTCATATATGTATCATCTGCATGTGTGACTAATACTAATGACATGAAATCAATAAGTTAAATCACGTTAATACCTGTGGCCATCATCTCCACAGAGCCCACGACCAAGCTATCGAAGACTTGACCTTTGATCCTCTTTGTGAGCGACTGATATTTCAGCGTGTCCTGGGACACATGTACCAGCAGCTGAGTAAACGTGTAGCCACCAATAGAGAAGGCATGGACAAGCAGTGGGCGGGACACAAATCGTTCGCTCTGGAGCAACTCCAGCAACTTCTTTCCATGCTCCAGACCCCAGCGAGGCCACAGGAAGTGTTGCACCTGGTGTGTGAAACAAACAGAAAGTTCAAGGATCCCTCATTTCATAAATAACATTAATGGGTGTGTAGACAACAGTGTATTTATTTCTTTAAGAAATAATGATTAAAAACACAAAAATTAAAACCTTTCTGTAGCAAGAGAATTGCTTTGTGACTTTTAAGAACTTAATTTAAAGTAAATCCTAACCCTCTTAAGATATGTACGATTCATATCATCACTGATGGATAATTTCCTTACCTCACTCTCCACTACGAGCACATCGAAGCCAGTGCGGAAGTAGATCTCACAATACTTGGCCACAGCTTGAGGACGCGAACCCAGCCACGGGAGCATCACCATGAGGGGTTTGTGTTCTTCAGAGGCCAGGGTCTGGCCTCCTGAGGCTGGAGATGCTAATTCATTCATGTACAGAGTCACATTCTTACAGAGGTGGAGGGCAGTGATTCCTCTGCTCAGGGAGGTCCTCGCCAACATAGATGCTGCTGTTAGGCTCTCCGACGCATTAAAGGTGATTGGAGAGTCTGCAGGGAAATAAAGAGTTATAGTTGTTGAAAAGCACAAACCACCCACAGCAGGGTGAGATATGTTAAAAGGGTTAGTAAGTGGCCATTGGAAGTTAATGCCCCTCAGCAGCATGATTAATGCAGAAGGACTAGCATCAAAAACAACTGTATGGAAATCGGATCTGTTTTGTAGAGAGTAACATCTGTTTCAGATACTGATCAACTAATAGGATAGCATTTTCAAACATTCTCATGAAAAAAAAGTGCCTCGTTTTAACATCAAAGGCATAAAAATATATCAAAGAAATCCCAGGAGAGCTAGAGTAATGCTTAAAAATCTCTCTAAAGCCTCAAAGTAAACAGGAGTTACCAACCCTGCAAAAGGTCAACAAACACGTAGCAAGAAAAAAATAAAGGCATGTAGAAAAATTATATACTAAGCACAACTGTCTAATGACCCAAACTATTGTGGCTAGTTCACACTCAAGAGTGAATGTTTGTGCCAAAATGCCCTCCCATTGAAATTGCCTCAAAGAAATATTGAGATGTTCATGAAGCCAAAAAAACGCCTTCAGTCTTAACATCACCTTCATGGTAATGTGTCAACACTATATCAAACATTGTTATAGTGGAAAATCAAAGACTGTGAGAAATTTGAAATCAAAAAGTTGCAGTGGAGGCCATTTGCAGTTAGTTGGCACCACCTACAGGACTTTTAGACACATAGTACCTCCTAATGTAAGAGCTACTGATGCTCATATCCTCCAGTGGAGTGGAGTGCATTGAAAAAGGAACAATAAAAGTAAGAAGGAGGGGAAGATTAAACAGTAGAGCAAGATAGGTGGGTCTACATCACCTGAAACTGTGTCTTTGACAGTACCTTTATTATATACGCATTCATCATATCGAAGTTTGATATGCTTATATGTGGTGGGGTTCAAGTTATACCTGGTAAGTTATTGTGTGGATGGAAAAATACTGACATCAACTCTTTTTTGTTCTCATAAATATAATATAGGTTGAGGTCTAAAGTTTTGAAAGGAGTTAAGGATTAAATGGAGAAACTTTCACTGTATTGTATTGTTATGATCAACTTACTATCTTACTATTTGAGCTACATTAAACATTTCCATTCACCTCTGAATCAGAGGCTTGGGCCTTTAATAGAGACCAAATTACAGTAGCTGCAACAGGAACAGGACAGTGGGTGTGATTCAGAACAGGTTAGTCCTGTATTCATCAGTAGTTTCTCTGAATGCAGAGATCAACTCATGTTTCAAAAGAGACTTCTGCACAGAACAACATGTCAGTTATCAGCTGGAAGTATTGCATGGTACTTACTAGTTTACTGATGTGAACTTTTGACTGCCCTTGCTGCTGTAACATTGCATATTTCCTCAGATTAAAAGAATTATCTTATTTTAAATGATCTACCAGCTTTATGTCCTGAAAAAATATTGTTACAACCCAAACCACAGACAGAAGTTAGTAATCCTGTAAGACTGTAGTACTGCCAATACTACTAGTTGAAGATAACCCTGCAATATGCCCGACAGCGCCGAGGACTCGACCCTGTTTGATCCTCCTCTCGCTCCGTACTTTACTTGAGTGTGTCTCTTATCGAACATTCACGATCACTCACAACTAATTGACGCTATGATGTGTTAGTTTATAAAGAAAGTACGTCAGAGGCAGATCTGGGATGAACACATAGCCGCGAACCCGTCTTTAAATCACGTTACGTAATTTGAACAGCGAGTACAAACCAGCATGACGTTCTTACATGACTCCTTCACAACTTCTAGCGGGCGAGCGACTGACCAGGTTTCAGTTTGTGCCGGTGATGTTTTAATACATCTGCAGTTCTCCAGATCCCATGGTTATCAGCGGTGGGAGGTTTGTTTGTTAAACTCACAGCTGCTGTAGTCGTTGTGTGTCTCTGAATCGCCCCCGCTGCTGCTGCTGCTGCTGCTTCCTCTTTGTTGTCCTCATCCATTGACTCATGTGTTTTCAATCGAGCTTCGATGGCCTGAAAGGAACCGCGGTCCGGAAACACACCCTCTGACAAGCCAATGTGGACTGCATGTGATGTGATGCAACGCCTCGAACACATACACACACACACACACACACACACACACACACACACTATCTCAATCGTTTGCATAACCTATATGTCATCATATATGTCATTTAAGTTAAACATTCACCACAATAACGTGTCTTGTCCTAATTAAACAAAAGTATGAGTAAAGAAGTAAAACATATCACAGTGACATAATGTATTATGTAAATGTATTTATTATATATAGAAACTTAATTATAGTTTGTGCCTTAATATGTCCTGTATTCTCACTCATTTGATTGAAATTTATAATACATCTGTTTATGATAAAGAAATCTTTGTCATATATATTCACCCAGTTCGATTTTTTTTACTATTGCGAAATTATAACGACTTATGCACCTAACACATCTTAATAATAGTACAATTTATTTATACAGCCCCTTTCATAAATTAAGTGCACCTCAAAATGCTTTCCAATAAAATCAAAGACATTAAACAAGATAGATAAATAAGAACATGTGAGCAATAAAAACATAAAACTGGCAAAAGGTATAAAAAAATGGATTAAAGTCAAACATTTATTAAAAGCAAGATCACAGAAATAGGTCTTGAGTTGTTTCTTAAAACCATCAACAGAAGTAACTTGTCTGATGTGTGGTGGAAGTTGGTCCGTAGCAACAGAAAGCTGCATCCCCAAAAATTTTGAAGTTTGTTTTTAGGACATAGATTAAGCCCACAGTAGAAGACCTTACCGAACAGTTAGAAACACACTCTGATAAACAATCAGAGGTGTATGGAGGTTCTGTACCATTAAAGACTCAAACAAGTAAAATCATTTTAAGATCAGCTGTCTCTCTGTTCATGAGTGTCTCAGTCCTCCGAGTGTCAGTCCTGAGTGTCCTCTGGAGGAAGGTCAGTGGCTGCCTTTTAAACCTGAGGATCAATCAGCTAACAGCTCTCACCTGCACTGAATGAGTCTCTGGTGCAGGTGAAGCTGCTCTCCTAGCCCCCTCACCTCCACAGAGACAACAACAATTCATGCTCACGATCACACAGAAATTTAGATTTAAACATGCAAACTCAACACAGAAAGTCCTCAGAACGCAGGTTGGAGGCCAGAACCTTCTTGAGGCCTGAGTGTTCACCACTGCACCTCTGTGCTGCCCAGGACTCAACATCCAGTATCATAAAACTCATCCACACTCTTTAACCTAACCAGGGTCATGGCTTGCTTTTATCCCCCTCTTTGCTTGTGCAGCTTTGTTTCTGTGTCTTGTCCTGATTGTCTACATTCCCAGCTGGACCCCGGTCCCTGCTGACTTTGTCTTGTTGGAGGATGACTTGTCTAAACAGAGACCAGTTGCCCAATGAGTTAGGATAGCGAGTGTGAGGCGGCAATAATTTGGCCACGTCGCTCACTGAGCTCATATGTTTGGCCTGTCATTGTTCCTTTCCAGTCCCTTTAGTTACGGCTCGGTTGATGCTTTCCTGTGTCCTCATCAGACATCAGGTTGTTCACACCCCTCGGAGAGTGGCTGTCTTCACCACGAACTGATCTTAAATAGCCTTTACGTTCAGACTATGGGAATCACAGCATTATAAATGACATGCTGTCATAGCCAATGTTCTATGTATTCAGAACCAAAATTTATGAATGTGAGTTTTAAAATAAATAGGTTGACAGTTTTGTTTGGGATGCAGTCAAATCAATACTTTTTTTGATAGACAAAGAACTTTTCAGTTCCTTACAACAGCAGGACACAAAATGTACACAATGTGCTTTAGACTCTTTCACTCTAAATGCGTCCAAAGGTATGTGGATCAGCTTCTATTTTAGAACCATCCCTGGGAATTGAATCAGGCCATGAGGCTACTAGATTCCCCCTATTGGGTAAAAACAATGTGAACAAGTCTGATAGCATTGGAAGGTGGAAAATAAAGAAAGTGAGCAGCATGTCCTCATCAGACAGAGATTGCTGGTGGAAACAGCCTTTGCCACAATAACTGACATAGAAACAAAGTCACAGTTTAGCAGTTTATTGCTAAACAGTGTATGTGCTATAGGTTTAGAGGTGCTGTATGCTCACACGTGCACAAGTAACCACTATCATGCATTATCCATGTATGCTATTCAAAGAGAGTATTCTGCCTCATCCTCTTCTGTGCCATGTTACAAACAGAGCTGCTGATCCGATGGCTGCTCTGGAAGGGAGGACACACCATCAGTTGTAAATAACACTCAGTGGCAGCATGTATTGATCTATGGCACTGGTTAGTTCAGTGCAGGGTTCTGCGTGCCTGTCGGTTGATGAGCCGTCCAATGCCCCTGAGACATATTTTTTCTACTTTTCTCTTCTCTTCTCTTTGAGTGCATGTGGAGACTAGTGAGGATCCAATGCAACCATAAAATAGATGATTCTCGGTGTGGTGTGTCAGATTTAGGAGGACAGGGTCGCGCAAACAGTCAAACTCGCAGTCGGTTCAGTGCAGCGGCAGTGGGACAGCGGGGGTTGTTGGAAGGAGGTGGGGTCTGTCCCATGTGTCGACTGTCTGATGGAGAGGAGAGAGGCACAGCACAGTGAGTATGAAAGGACACAGAGTGCTACGAAGAGAGAGACTGCAGGCATGCAGCAACACAGAGCAGCATATATGTTTAAAGAGGCTGCAGCGGAGCGGGCTGTTGATGAGGTAAGAATGCTGAAACTCGACTGAATATAAGAAAAAAACAATTGTGTGTTAAATGTCTCTACATGTTCTGTTATTGTGAATGTGTGTATGTCACAGGACTATGAGTATTTTCATACACTTCATTAGAATTCTTTTCATGAGCAGTTTTATGTATTTTAGCAGTAACCCCATATGCAGAGATTTCTTTACAATGTTAAACAGAGTAAGTGTTTGCACTGATTGTGACTGTGATTTATCTCTCTTCCATCCCCAAGTGTGATTAGCACAAATCCATGGAGACCTGACTTTCGAGATCTGTCAAACCTAAGTGGACAATAACCCACAAAAACCTGCAGCATGTGACTTTGCGGTGGAGTTTGCGGACCCTCACCATGCTCTCTCTGTGGATTCTTTATCTCCTCCTCCCTCTCTCCTTGCCTCTCTCGCTTCATGCTGTAGCCTCAACTGGAGAAAATGTCAAAGAAACACAACAGCTAGACGTGGACACAGCAGTGCAGCATCTCCCGCAGCCCTTGCAAAGACTTCCCAGATCTAGTTTTGCAACGGTGAAGCCCCTGTTTGAGCCCGTCAATGTTGACTTCCTGGGTCTACCTTTGAATTGGCCCTTAGCGTCATCTGAGGAATCAGATACACAAGGTGTGATTGGTGAATATGCTGATTTACAGGAGGGCACAGGGACATCTCTTTTGTATCCTTATGAGAATGAACTTTTCCCATCCACAGAAAGTGCAACAGAAGATGTTACATCTACACAGCCTAAACGGTCTTCATCAGGAGCTGTTCCACCTCAGCCTACCAAGGAACAAACATTGAAGTATCAGCCAGCTGAGACCAGCACTGGCTCCACATTGCATCCTACAACTACTGGGGAGAATCAGCTAACTTTAACATCCTTGCACAATGAGACGACTGATAGCCACTTGCCTTTTCTTCTGTCTGGCTCACTTCCATCAGAGACAGAAGGCCAGGACTCAACTTCACCACAGTCTGCTGAACAAGGGCCCACTTCTGACTATACTACTCCACCTGTAGCCACTGGCAGTTGGGGACAGAAAAGGACACTGGAGGATACTGTCCCAATGAAAAAGACTGGAGATGGATTGGCTGATATTACAAACCGCAGAGGAGCTGTTGGCATGGAGGCAGAAAATGGTAAGAGTCCTGTCAGGAATCCATTATTTACTGAAACTGACACATAGCTTATAATGAGTGGTAGGATTTATAACATTGTCTCATTAGAAACCTGAAATACAGAAAATAAAAGCCTCCAAGTTGATGCCGCTGCAGTATTTGATCATTCTGCTGGCAGACACAGTTGTTTTACATTCACAGAAGGATTTTCATCACTTCACTCCCCCAAGATTTCAATCCTCCAAAACAAAGAAATCCTACCCCAGCCCTCTCTCTCTTGTCTTGTGCTGTCAATCCTTTTATCATAGTCTCTTCCATTCAGTCCTCCACTCTCTTGTTAATGTTGAAACATTCACACAGCCGCCAGTGTCGATTACCCATCTCCAATGATAAGTGGATAATATGGTGCACACATCAACATGCAGTGTTTACCACACACACACAGACACACGTCACTCACTTGTTAAAGTAAATTATGTGTTGTGTCCACCAACAGAGGCAGAGGAGGGATTTCACAGAGGTATGCGAGAACCCTTCCTCAATCTGCCTACACTTTGATACAGCCAGTGTTTAAAGTACCTACCACATATTAGCAATATTAATTTGTACTTGTGTCACAGCAACTACTGGTGAAGATGTTTTTTTTTCAGACTTTGAAGTGAACACAGAAAATCCCTCGCCTAGAAATTCTGTCAATGCTTGTTTGCTGCTTCTGCATTAACACATTCACTTCACAGCTAATGAAGGACCAGAAATAGGACACAGTCTATTTATAACCTGTAGGTTCCCTCATTCTGGTGGCTTCATGCAGTTTATTGTGGATGTTATTTCACTCAGAAAATGAGGTTCTTACATTATTTATTGGTAACACAACAGATATAAAAGTTCATCATCTGCATTTTCTTGATGAACGTTAAGGAAAGCAAAACACTTCCTGATCATGCTCTATGATAACCACACAAAATGAGAGCAGCAATAAGTCCGTACTGGTTAATCAACTGACCCATCTTTTACACACACACACACACACACACACACACACACACACGCACAGTCTACTTGCTCATGCTCCCCTCTCTCTGTGACCCAGTTAGAGATTCCCAGCTATGAGCCTGCTCTGTTTTATTATAGATTATATTCACACAGGGCAGATTCCATCATGCTTTTTTGGGCGAATGAAGACTGGCAATATACTTTATCTTGGCCTGTATGTTATGTTTGTTTCAAAGGTAAATGTATGTAGTTGTTATGAGATCCTAATCAATAACTTGAGACAAAAAAATACAATCACAAATTTACGCTGCGACACTAGCTGCAAAAAAAGACTGCATTTTGGAACACTACTTCGAGCTAAATACTAGTAACATCAACATGCTCTCATGCTCACAATGACAAGGTTAAGATGATAATTCTCTGCAGGTAATGTTTAACATATCCCCCTTCTTATTTCAGTGTGCTAGCTCCATTTTCTGATTTTGTTAGTATTTAAAATTTAGCTTACGTCAACACAACAGGTAACACGTTGTTTTGTACGTATTTTACAGATGACTCCAGGGACAGAGGTCCGCACGGTAACATGAACACATCTGCCACACCCTGCAAAACAACAAACCAGTCCTGGACTCCCACCTACCCAGAAGACTTTACTCCCAATGAGTCCCTGCACCCCTCTCTGGGTCTCAGCCCTGCCCTTCATGTCCCTCTGTATTCAGACTGGAACTCTGCCCTTGCCACATGGGGATTTGCTTGGGAAGCTCACATCTATGGCTTGGGATCTGTCTTCACTGTGTTCGGCCTCATCTCTGTTGTCTGCCTGTTAGGCCTTCCCCTGCGGTGTCCACCAGGAAGCCCCTACCTCACTCTCCTGCATTTGTTCCTGTTAGCATTTGCAGGAATCCAAGCTTTCTGTCTGCTGTACGATGCTTACAGTCACCAAGATCGTCTTCCCCCTATAGGCTCTCTGCTGCTCTCTGAGTTGCCCTTCCCCTGTTTAGTCTCAGCTTTCTCTTTGGCCTTTCTCCTTCTTTCATTGCGCTCTCGCATGCGTCTTTCACTCCCTGTTGCTATTTCAAGCTCATTATCAGTTTTGCCCAAACCTCGCCTGTTACTGTGTGTGTCTCTGCTGCATTTTGGAGTTTCTCTAGGTTGTGTTGGCATGCTCCAGCTCTTTCACATCCTCCCAACCATGATCATGCTATTCCCTCATGGTCTGTTTGTATGTCTCACCATTTTTCTGTCATGTTCCTATCTCATCTTCTACTGTTTAATTCGAGTCGACACTAAACACATCTACAGACTGAAGGACAATGGAGAGAGTGGAGGATCTCCTGAAGTGATACGACCTGCAAGTTGCCCCTTTGCCAAAGTGGAGGACTGGCATAGGGCAGCAGGAGCTGGAGTAGGAGCTGCGTTGTGTATGTTGGGGTGTGGTGGGCTACAGCTTTATGGGATCCTGCATGCCCTTGGTTTAGGTGGGGTTGACGGCTATGGGTTCCAGCCTTGGTCCTGGTGGGGCTATCAGGTAGGCTGCAGACTCTGTGAGGTTGGGGTGTGCCTCAGCTTGTCTCTCATTGGCACACACCCTCTATTTTGTCAAAACAACTCCTCTATCAAGACGATAACTGACCCTCGGCCAGGATCTTGGTCTCGCCTCTCCTGCAGCTCCCCCTCACTGGGGCTTACCCTGCCCTCTCTTGAATGTGCAAATTCTCCTGTCCTCTCCTCACATGATTCCTGCTCCCATTGTAACCAGGAAAAGCTTGTGATCTGTAATGTCATTAGTAAGATACCATCAGAGGCTCTTCCTCTTTGCCCTATGGTGGATCATCCTGGAAATGGGTTTGATTGTCTCCCAAAATCCAGCCAAATAAAGACGACACTATTGCCTCTACCTACACCCCCAGTCCCACCTCACAAACCTATAAATGCAGACTCTCAGCTGTCGTCACTGGATAGCTTAGGTCTAGAGACTGACTCTACTGTGGACCTGCGGCCCCCATCTCCCATAGACCTGTCCCGCAGCATTGACCAGGCTCTGTTCAGTGATTCCCTATTCTCCCACAGTATCTTTGGTTTTCCAAAACTGTTCCATGCTTCTTCAAGTCATTCTTTGAGCTCTCCAAGTCAAGTTACAGCAAAGCATGGGCCCGGTTCTGTAGACAAGGCCTTATACCGAACTTCTTCCTGTGGAGATGTGGATCAAGACAAACCACCGCCCAGTTCAAGATGCTCCCAACCTCAAAGTTCTTTGACATCTCACAGCAGGACACCGGAGCAATGGGATTGGAAAGCGAGTGTCTCTGGCTCAACCCAGGGTCTATGTAGCAATCCCAGGGAGCCAGGAAAACTGCGCTCACATTCCTGGGCCAACAGAGGGCAAAACTTTGCCCAGCACAGCATTCCTCGAGCGATTCCTCACCTGTCTTACCACAGGCGTTACCGTACCTTGAGTTTAGCCTCCCAGGAAATCCAGGGCTCTGGCCGACTGGCAGGGACTAAAAAACTGAGTGAAAGCAAACAGCTGGAATGGGATCTTGCTGTACAGGCAGAATTTGTCAATGTGTGCAGACAAATTGATGATCTGAGTGTTTGCAGTGACACCATTGAATTGTAGGATATTGTAAAAGTCCAGCTGTGATTGAAATGTACATGATATTGTCGAGAAATACATACAGATGAAAATACTGTAATTACATAAACTAATGAAAGAGTAATGGACATTATCTATTATCATTATTACTATTATTGATACAATATGTTGACCCAGCTTATTGACAGTGAAACTATCCTGGAAAAGGAGAAAAGTATCTATGAAAGAATTATAAAGGCTAGCTGTCTTTAGAAATGAGTGGACAAACAATATAGAGTCAAAAATAGTTTTGTTTAACACTGCTGTGTCTACATCGTTAAACCCTTTCCCCGTATGTGATAGCATTGCCGATATTCAACATAATTTCATCCACATTGGTAAACAATATGGGGTAAAATGTTAAGAACTCCTCAGAGGGAGCTAAATATCACTTTTCTCAGTGTGGTGTAAAAATAATGAAACTTTAAGGAACACCATACATACAAAGGTTGGAGTTGTATTGCCGGCCTACCAAAACATTGAAGTGATATTTTTGACATTTTAATTTTATTTACAAATTTTTTACTATATTGCCCTCTTGTGGTGATCAGAAAAATCCCCATATATAGAACTCAAAGAGCTCAGCAACATGATTTCCCTAGTATTGGAATGAAAAAAATAAAATGTATCTTGTCAAAATGACCTTTATTGATGCAGCACTATATACAGTAAATATCATTCTGAAGCTTTTGTGTGGATGAAACAATAAAACAATTATATTTTCTGTATATTCTGTAATCCTCACTTGGTTGCCAGTTATTATATATTGATATAATACCGGAGATGGTGAATACCTTCCACAAAAATAAGAAATAATGTTAAAAACTCCAAAAAATATTTGTGTCTCTTATTCTATATGGAAAATAAATCTAACCTGAGTGATTGGTTTGGACTTCACTTCTTATTAATTGACTCATATTAAAAAATATTAAGCCTGAAAAATATACATTATATCTGTATAATGTATTATGTACAGTCAATAGCCATATAATAAACAATGTGTTTTTGAAAAATTGAATTATGAGGATCACATGTCAAGACTTCGACCCATTTGTATAATCAGTATAAAAATGGGGATATTGTACTGAATGATGATCAAATATTTTAATGTAAATCATAGATTCTCTCCTGTCTTGTCACTAAGACAGTTTTTTAAACAGTAATTTCAACTCAGCAAGATGAATAAAGGAAAATCTAAAGTGAAATTATATGTGTTTTCTCCTTTAAGGTGCTCACAAATGTGTATTGGTGAATTGAGGTTAAAGCCTAACTTCATGTTACATGCAGATGATCAGAGCAGGGCGTCCATCATGTTACAGCCAAATTTACGAAGAAAGAAATTGAATTATCTTCAACAAAAACCAGTGCAGTTAGATGATGTAAACATACTGACCTGTGTGTACTACTATGTGTACTACATGCTACAAAATATGACCATAGCTGAATATAATTCAAGATTATTTTAGACTTCTGGAGTGTGGTCTTACCATCAGCAGAGAGCTGTTGTGAATCTGTTTAAATCTTGAATCTGTTTTGTGTTTTCTTCCCCTTTAATAAAATAAGTCTTCTCTAATTTAAGTAAATTATTTATAACATTTTGTCAAAAACATGTTCCTTTTTTAATGTCCATTTTATCTATAAATAAAATAAATTACTTTCTGATTTCCTCCAAATCCTGAACTGCTCTGTGTGATATATTTAATGAGCAAAAACCCTTCAAGGTTTATTTAACACTTTCATGTATCGGGTTGGAATTCAGGCATCATGACCTTATGTCTGCAATAGTAAGCTTCTCCTAAAGAGGTAATGACGTGCATTGCCTTGTTGAAAAGGATCAGCAGAGTAGGTAATTACATAAGATTCAATGCACCTTGGCTGCAGCAGGAGAAAGACAGACAAGGGTTCATATACAATTGTGTCCATCAACAGGCGTGACTCTTTGACTCTCCAGTGACCTTTAGAGTAAAGTTGTTTTGTAAGTGTGTTGTTTTGTATAACCTTAAAGGGGTGGGAAAAGCAGGACGAAGAGAAAAGGACACAAACAAATAGTGTCACATTTTGTGTGAGTGTGGATGTTGTGTCGTGTGTCTGTAGTTTGGTCACATGCGCCCAGTGCATCTGCTCATAGCTGCTGGAGCCGGGACGTTAGGTCCTGATCGAGCATTTCCTTTTCCTCCTCCCTCAGTAAAGCCGCTTCTCATAACTGCATGTGGAATAAAAAGAAGTAAAGTGTCAGCAGTTTCTCTGTTGTCATAACATTTCACCACCACAAAAACAGTCTTGAATGGAGATGAATGAACAAAAGACAAAGATGGATGTGGGATAACCGCATGGTTGTACTTACATGGCACAAAAGAATATCTAATATGATCGCATGGATAAGAAAAGAGGAAGAGAGAAGACAATTTGATGTTTCTAAACCAAGCAAACGTACATTGAATTTGACAATAAAATGTTTTTTGACACAGGGACTGATTAGGAGTGAAGCTTAGACAACAAGAGGAAATAGATGATGACAGACTACACCAAACACATGAGACCTAAGGAGAAGTATCACAAGAGGATAAAAGGATGATGACGTAAGGGTGACAAAAATGAGACACTTGGAGTAAGAGGGAGTTGTAGAGGAGGCGTAAAGGTCACCGGGGTCAGAGGTCAGACTTACGAGTGGAGGCCATGAACTCCTCCCTCCATCTGAGCAGACATGGTTCTCTTCTCAAACTTCAGCTCTCCGGAATACATCATCGACCTGGGGAAGAGATAAACAGCTCAGATCAGCTAAAAGCACAGAAACAATATAAACTTACAATAAACACACACACACACACACACACACACACACGTTTTTGTACTTCTATGAACTTGGTGAGAACAAAAGCCCCTTACCCTAACCTTAACCATCACAACTAAATATTTATCCCTTATGCTAACCCATAACATAGACCTAATAACCTTGACCCTAAAAGCAAGTATTATACCTCAAGCAGCCCTTTGACAAAAGTGAGGACCAGACCAAAATGTCCCCACTTTCCCAAAATGTCCTCACTTCGTGAGTGCTTTGCTGTGGTCCCCACAAAGATATACATACAAGTACACACACACTTACCGTAAAATGGACAAACTCTTGGCTCCTATGTCCTGGCAGCCATGTTGGATCCCAGCAATGAGGTAAGGAGCAAATTTATGGATGGAGCCTTTATCTTGTACTGAGCCGGAGACACCTTGAGCCACCTTCACCTTATCTCCCTCACTGGATACACAGAGGAAGAGATAAATGTGTCACTCTGACGTTCTTCGACTGTGGATTTGTCTAGAACAAATGTTAGTAGAGCAAGGGCATCCATGACACCACCTGAAGTAACGTTTCTGACTGTTATCTTTCTCCATGGCATCCAGGGAGCCCATCCCTCTGTACTTCTTCAGGCGCACACCATCAGAGAAGAAATATTCTCCTGGAGCTTCAGTGGTTGCAGCGAGCAAAGAGCCCATCATCACTGGAGGTGGAAATATGATGGGACAAAACAAAATGGGATTGAATGATGGTTGCAGAAGACAACAGACATACAACTGACATTCAACAATAAGGATTTTTTTTATTTGGCAAAAAACACGTTTATTGAAAACAGAATTCAGTCATGTGTCCCTCAGACCGCAGCCCCATAAGTCATTGTATTGAAGTATATGAATAATACCGGCCACGAAACGGTTCCAAATATTTGATAATAAAATGTAAGACTGGAGGAAGCAGGAAAATATTGCATGTTTCCACCTGTAGATGCTCCCAGGGCCAGCGCCTTCACCACGTGTCCAACAGTCTGAATTCCTCCGTCTGCGATTACTGGGACTCCAAAACGTCGGGCGTACTCTGCGACCTTGTAAACGGATGTTCCTTGGGGTCGTCCACATGCCATTACTAAGGGAAAGGGATGAAATGTTTGCAAAATAAAAATAAAAATACGTACATTATTAATTTTTTTCTTAGATAAGTTGTACGCCATATA